GCTCGATCCCTGGCTATCCGAGCTGCATCGCGGTGCGAGTGCTTTCGACATCCGCCGTGTTGCCCCCAGCTTCCTTTCTCAAGGGCCTGAAGTGTCAGACTACCAGGAGGCCCTGGAGCAGCTGCGCCTGCTGGCCCGGTGTTACAGAGACGACAGCAGAGGCGTGATGCGCTCTTCCTCCGAGGAAGAGGACGATGACTGAAGTTGGCTAGCACGACTTGTACCAGCCTGCATGCTGTCAGCCTGATGCAGGGAGACAGAGGAGCTGTGCTCTGCTGTGTGAAAGGATGAGGACTGAAGTACTGGGTGACAGAAAAGAAGTTCTGCCCATGTAGTTTGTAATTCAATGACTGTTCATATGTAATTAAAAGTATTTTATACAAAATGCACATCATAGGACTGTATTTACATAAAGACGTAGCTTTCACCACAGGTTGCATAGATTGTAGCATTCACAGCTCTCAGAGCAAAGAAAGGGATTCTTTGTTTGTTTGTTTGTTTGTTTTCTGTGGCCTCAAATGAACAGTAAACTGTTGAACATGCTTTGGGGTTTTTGTAATTTGTCCAAAGCAGAATCAACTAATTTGGGGTTTAATGGGACATTTAGTATCCTCGGCCAAGTCTGCCTGTTTGTGCTGCAAACCTTTCATAGAACATCATAAAAAATTAAAAATTCCCCCTCAAAGGAAAACACAAGACCAAGGAAATAATGAATGCATTCACACTGGGCGCCTTAATCACATGACAGCAGATGTTGATGTGAGTCTTCTGTGTTAAAACCACAATTTGCTAAAGATGGGACTACAAAAAGCACATCTTAGATACTTGTTAAATGCATTTCATGACAAAAATATAAATTGCCATGGTTGTAATAACATTTAAAAATGGAATAAAGAGCCTATAAAGTTAAACACAAATATTTGTAATGCTTATCATCTGGTTCATGCTGGATCAATAATCCAGCGCAAATCCTGCTTTTAAAGCTTTCTGTGATTTAGGTCAAACTAAAGTATTAAAAAATTTAAATGACTAATATGGACTGAATTGTGGTGAAACTTAAATTATTTAATAAAGTTTTAATCTTTATAGAAAAATATTTTCTCCACACCAGAACTTGATAAGAAAGGTTTATTGCTGCTGTTGTGTGGTCTTTTTTTCCAGGATAAACAGTTCAAAGAATAATACATGGATCTCCCTCTGGTTAGAAAACCAGTCAGCAGCTGTCTGCTGTAGCCAACTCCTGGGAGAGAGATTTATAAAGAGAAGTT